AACAACTAAGTCAGAGCTGCCAAGCAAACACTACTCAGTTAAATCTAATGGCAGAGTACAGATGTGAGGTGGCAGTACTTTTTCTAGGTATATGTGACATGCTTTAAAATAGCAGAAGGTCCTAATTTAAATAGGAAGTCAGATTTGTCACAGCCACCTATAAAATAGCAAACATAACCATAAGACAACACTATCTAACAGTAATGGGTTGATATCAGAAAATTTCACCTACTGAAATGGGTTATTTCTAATCTTACTGGGAAAGTTAAGCTTACTAAATGAAATACTTAAAATGTACTGGAAAAATTATTCAATAAATGTGATATTATAATATAATTTATGAATGCAAGATGCCTATTCATTACCTTATCTTTTAATGTAATGTGCTATGGGAATGTTTATGTAATGTATAGCTTTATACTTTTAGATAGTGCCTTCTGATCTTAAAATTTTAGTGTTTTGATGGTTAATTTTTAATATAACTACTTTTAAATATTCTCTAGAATAGTTCAAGATCACAACACATTGTGCATGAATGGTTCTGAGTGTGTCTAACTAAAAAAAGAAGCTAGTTTATAAGTTATACCCATTTGGACATCAAATGACAGAAAAAGCAGACTGATTTCTTTGACTATTGTCAAGAATTCAAGGATTCTTCAAGAATCAGAAAGATAACATATATTTCCAGAATCACAGCCTTTGACTTAAGATTGTTAATGTGCCCTAGGCATGAGAATTTGTGAAAATCAGAGAGGCTAAATTTGGGTTATCTACAATACATACACAGAAATTACTTTCTAGAATTGAACATCTATGTCCACAGTCTTCTTAAATCAACAGTGCCAGATTCCCCCCTCTTTTTTGGAATTAATTTTTTGTAAAGTAAACACTAAAAAGTTACCCCTAGTTTTAATTTCTCTATCCTGCCACTGAGAAAAGTAGAAGTGCCATTTTAGTATATGGAAAAGAAACAGGAGGAATTAAAACCTTACTCTTCAATAGGATGACTATAGATAACACTAATGTACTGTAAATTTCCAAAAGCTAGAAGACATTCAGAGTGTTCACCATAAATAACAGACCTATTCTTGGGAAAATATGTATACTAATTAGATTTAAGTCTCAGTAATGTCTACATGTGTCAAAATACTGCATGATACACTATTAATAAGTATACAGATATGGTATTTGATAGAGGGTTATCTTGCTTTTGACTTTAAAGATTTGATTGCTTTTCAAAGAAGACAGTTTTACTCTATGAACTAGTTTTAAGTTATATTCCTAACTTACAGGCTGAATCAGGATGGATTTTACTCAATAGTGAAAATACAACTTCAATAGTTAGTGAACAATAGGTATTTGCAATTTAATGCAAGAAAAAGTATTGGATTTTGAAGTCAGAGTACCAAAGATGCCTTTAAACTCTTAAATCTGTAAGGGAGATAGATACGAAGAAATACTCATGCTCAAGAAAGTCATCCATATAGCTTAAATAAAATTATGATTTAAAGTTGTATTTGTTCAAATACCTGCCAATATGGGTTGTATTGACTCTAGTATTATTGGTGCGAGGCACTAAAATTGGAAAACCTTCTAAAAATAGAAAATGTACATATCAATGATTTACCAAGATTACTTTTAATTTTCAAAGCATCTGGAAAAGACTGTTATAAATATACAAAAATACCCTTTAATTCTGATTTTACAAGTTAAGTATTTGATAATATCTTTACCATTTTGCTTTGGAATTAAGTTTTAATTTTATATAGAAAACTTTCAAGTTATTCTACTACAGTAAAAGTAAAAGGTCAAGTAGTGTATTAGTTAGTAGCCTCATACAGCACTGTAATGTTATTTTCACAGTGACTAATATCCCTTACTCATTACCTCCAGGTCTTTACAAACCCTTAAATAAGAATCCAGTCTCAGGCTTCTGGGTTGCATAGTTTAGCCTAAGGAATATGTATGAATGGGTCATATCTATAATATATAATGGATTACTTAGCAATTTAGAAACAATAATTTATATTTCTCTCTTAGTGTAGAGTTATGTAAGAAATCACCAAATTAATTGGGTTGACAGCCTATCATTTTTAATTTGGAATAATTTTGAGGAGTAACTACTAGATATATTATCTGTCTTAAGAAGGCCATTTTATTCATTTATAGGGGTTAATGATTTTATTATGAGGCAATAAAATGTGCATGCATGTGGCACTCCTTTTATAGGACAATGGATGGTCTGTCTGTTGGAGGGGGCATATAAACCGCATGCATTAATGTCATCTATATAATATCTGTTGCTCTTTCAAAATAGACAGTTATAAAATGAGTTTTGTTTTAATTCATTTAAATAATCTCACATTCTTCCATAACCAAAGCACATTCAAGCAAAATGTGTTATGTTGAAATAACAGTGACATAAAATTGGTTTCCAAGTAAGTGACAATCAGAAGACTACTTCTGAATTTAAAAGCTTTACGCATCCTATTAAATCATTTATGATATGAGGACATTTGTGCACTATAAGAATAGTATAGGTTAAAAGAATATGTGTCTGTTGCTGAAACACAATTAACTAATAGAAATGCTAGAACTACTTATTTTTTTCTCGTTTGGTTTTGATTAGATGGCTGAGGCAAAAAAAAACAAAAACAAAAAAAAAAACAACAACAACAAAAAAACCCATCCAGAATAAAACTTATTCCTGAATCGTATCGTATCATTGGTTAAAACAGTCAAGGGCAATCTGGTGCATGCCTGGTAATGGAATGACATATGCTGGAAGAGGGTTTTAAAATAACTGAATGACTTCAATGAGTGACTCCAGGTTAAAAAAAAAAAAAGGTGGCACCTGCTTACTTAGAAAAACCAGTCCCATGTAATATTAAACTAATGAACAGAAGGGATTAGTACTGCTTCTTTTAAGGCAGTTGCATTAGTCCTGGAGAGATGCTGTCATGTTATTGAATACAATTTTTTCTGGTTAGGAGGCAATAAAGGAAGGCTTAATGTGGTGATGTTATTTTGGGAAACAAAGTCATGAGGAATAGGCTAAAGAATTTTATTCTATGGTATCCTTCCCATTCAACATGTTTGGATTCTCTAACCTGAGAAAATATGAGAAGTATATATTGAGATATTTCCACAAGGGAACAAGACATTTAAAATGTCAGGAGAAAGCATGATCCTTTTAGGCCATTCTCTATACACTGCAATTTAAAGCTTTAGGATAATAATATGGAAAAATTGCTTTCTAGGAAATAGAGTTTGGAGTAAATCCAATAAGAAGCAACAGATGGAAAATGTGATAAGATACTCCCAAACACCTTCACAATATATTGCTCAACTACTATGGGAAATACTGAACCTTTAACATTGATATCTCTTATACAATCCTTTTATTCTCAATTAAGTTCCCTGTATCTTTTAGATTTTTTTCCTGGTGAGTAATTATTTGTGTGTGTGTGTGTGTGTGTGTGTGTGTGTGTGTGTGTGTAGTTTCCACACTTTCTGAAAAGTAAAGTGTATATAGTAGAGCACAAAGAAGAATCCCTATGCTTTAGCTATTACAAGATGTAGACAGATACATACAGTTTCTTAGTGTAGTAGTTAATGTTTTTTATTTGTTCTCCACAAGAGGAGGTAAATCCAAATATTAAAGCCTTGGGATTCTGTAATACACATGTAATTATTTAAATACCCCAATGGCCAGTGATTTATGGGTACAAAAAAGTAAGAAATATTGGCTATTTGAAAATTTCCTAGAAGTGGTACTGTATTCAATACTATAATGCCAAGAAGAGACTTCAAATACTCTCTGTAGGTACACACATTTAAATACATTCTCAGATTTTGATTTCTGATTCATGTTGTGATGGAAAATTACTTAAGTTTTCTGACGGTCTTTTGACATTCATTTGGATCAGCTTATTGTTATCATCCCAGATAACATATCAATGGCTCTTTTCATCATGACAGAAATTCATTATAAATACCATTCATATATTTACAAGGTAGATATCTGATGTGCTGACTAAATATTCAGAACAATGGAAAATATAAATAATTATTGAAAAATATGGTGTTAACTAAAATCTAACATCGAGGAACATACTACAAACTAATCTTTGGTGTTGAAAATGTGAAAGTGTTTAAATCAGTGGTAATTTGCTTTCATTTACTAATGATGAAATTACCCAGATGTATTCAGTTGTTGATCAAATAAGCCAAAAATCTTAAATGTCATGGCTAAAATCTTTAACTTTTTGTTGTTAGTAGTTCTATTTCTCTTTTTTGTCCCATTTAATTTCTTCTTAGGAGATGATGATAAAATAGTTTCAATTTAAAAGTTGGTTCTTTTTTTTTTCAATTTATTTAAACACCCCAAAACACTCTCCATTATAAGTTACTTATTGGTTGTTCAGATGAAAGGAATTTTTTTCAATTCACAGATTAGCTAAATTGTTTCTATATGGAGGGATAAATTGATTTTTTCCAGAACATTTTTTCCAGTGGTCCTTCAAAATTTAGTAGTATTTTCAACCCAACAAATTTTATTGGGAAACACAGATTTACAATTCATTGTTTTAACATCATTTATATTTGTTATCATTGAAATCAGGTGTTTTCAATTTAAGCACTAAAATTTCATGTTCTTATTTGTTAAGGGAAAAAAAGCAGTGTAACAAGGAACTAGTTGAACACAAAGATGTTGTACTATGTCTGCACTATGTGTCTCGATTTTAAAACATGAGAGTGTTCTTTTATACTTCAGCCAAAGATGCAGGCATCTTTAACATACTGGTCACAGCAAATTTTGTCTTAAGTGTCAGTAAGATGTAAAACATCATTTCAAGTATTCTACTATATTTGAAAGCTTTTACAGTCACAACATTTGAAGATCACTTAAAATGAGTTTAGAGATAACTTATCTACTATGATTATCTACACTGAAACTGGTGAAAAATAGTTGGCAACTGCACAAAAATAGATCTTAACTTTTACAGAATTTGGAAAATTGCTTTTCAGATGTACTTAAGCAATGCTTCTGATATGTGTACTTCTTAGATCATACCATTCTGTACTGGAAACTGCACTGTAGGGCATGGCTGGAAGTAAACAAGTGGTGGCCCAGATGCTACATAATAGCTTGGGTACCCTCCCTCAACAACAAGGTATGGAGCAGGTTGATAGAAGCAAGTTACATTATCTGTACTGGGTAATACATTCTGTTCTCCAAGTACTTTCAAAGCCAAAAGAGTGATCATGTTAAGAGTTTGCCTTCTTTCATAACCCATGAGGCAGACAGTGCTTTGGTTTACAATTCCATGCAAAGTCATAAGGTAGTCATACTTGCTTTTTTCTTCACCTATGAAATGGTTGCGGAGGTATGATTCAATTTTCTTTTGCTGTTCTGTTACATCAGGAAAATCAATGAAAAATCTAGAACACATATAACGTTCCAGAGTCTTAATTTCTGTTTGACAAGCGGGTTTGAAGTCACGAACCAACAAATTGCTGTATTTCAAAAGACCACCACCTCTGATCTCTTCAGGTTTTCTGGTAGATATGAGCTTGTATTTCAAATGTATCATTGCTTCCTGAAAATCCCCATACATACTTTCAGCCACAACAACAGGACAAGATTCTTTGGTTAGCTTAGCATTTGGGACACTATAGAAATCTAACATGGAATCCAAAAGAATTTGAAAAGAATCTACACTAAATTCAAATTGTCGTCTGAGTGAATTCACAAATTTTAGTTCTACATTCTTCCCAGTGTTATTTGAAAGAGAGATGAGACTCCAGCGATCATGGTTATTGCAAATTTTGACCATTTTCTGCACATATGCCTCTTTCATTGTCTTTGGGGTAATCTTTTCTTTTTTAACACCTTTTGGCAAAAAGTCAAGTAGACAGCCTAAAACTGCATCCTTAACAACCTGAAATTCTTGATCGCTTGGTAGATCAACACCAAAAATAATGTCCAGATCTTTATAGCTGATTCCATTATGGCTTGCGAGTATGTAACTTGCTGTAGAGCCATTCAATCTAGTATCTTTAACAGTAATGCCCTGCTTTATGAGTTGATCTTTCACAACATGAACAATATCTTTTGGTTTTACCTCCAGTGTGGGGAAATTGCCCCTTCCATGAATTGGGATTACTTCATCTAAAACGCGATCCAGTGTCATGATGTGATCCCAAGTGAGATTGCTGAATCTTATCTCTGACATTGTGATGTCAATAAATCAACTAGGGACAAGAAAAATATTAAGAGAAAATATCAGCATCTTAAAGCTAATGTTACACCAACAACATATGAAATAAGTTCAAAACAGATTTACCCTCTATAAAAACAAAGTGAATACTAGGAAGTTATTGATAGATATAATCATTCTTAAATATGGAAAAATAAAAGTCACAAGATTATATTAAGTCTTTGGTTCACAGGTAAGTTCAAACATGTTTCCCAAGGATTAAATGCAATTACATAACTCATAAAATAAAAATGGCATTTTTTCTAATCTTTCTCCATATAAAAAAATAATGATGGTGTTTGGTCATATAAATGCCATTTATGGAATAATTATAGTACAATACATGGACAAAATGGAACTAATACATAATATGATATCTTTAATTCTATAATTATAAAATCATTCAAACATACACTATTGAGTTTTGTATATTTCATTGCTCTCATTTTAAATACCATTATAGAAATCTTCTATTATGTTATTAATTCACTGGGTTCTTTGAGAATAAAGTTATCATCTAATTCATGACTTAGCCTATATGCCCAGAAGTGATTTAATGTCAGGTGAAATAAATAATGACTGTTACTTGGAAATATAAAATGAATCTACCAAATTTGCATGCAAAATTAAACAAGAATTTAGAGAAGCATAAAATTCCTGTGTCTTAAAAACATCTAGTATAGTTGTCTAATAGCTAGTTAGCATATGATATAAAATGCTCAGAAAATTTTACTAATGGAGAGTATCAAGAATTTAAATTTTTATAAATCATGATGAGTGCATCTATATTAATTCTGCATTATCTAAAGTGATTACATTGATTTTCTAATACACTATTAAGTTGTTCAAACAAATTAATGTAGGAAAGTAAATGAAGTCTATCATGGACATAGTCATTGAACTAGGTATTATTTCCTGAATTCAAGGAATGAAAAAAAATATGTTTAAAGCATATTTATATGGATAGCATTCATATATTTTTCAAATTACAGAGCTATCAGAATAAAAAATATTTAGAATTCACATATATCTCAAGTATAACTACAGCAATAGAATTATCTTATTTGGCATTTGTAGAATAGTCTTTAACAGTTCAATCATTAAGAAACAGCACATCTGTGTTTGTGAGAAAACTAAACCTATCATAGCCCTCTCTCTACATATTATCCTCATAAACATGAATTAAAGAGCCAATGTGTATTTTTATTATGTAATATTATGGTTTATATAATGGGTTGCTTATTTTATTTAAGCCATTTTAATTGTGAATATTTGTAGAGTTTGACCAACTATGTGAGTATACAAATCAAAAATTTAAACATGAGTGGGTTGCATTGACTTATTTCAGGTTTTTGTAATTACCCTAGTGAGAAAAATTAATTTAAGGAGCAAGAATACACATTAGTTGCTAGAACATTCAATAAGAAATTGTAAGACTACTTTAAAATAATTCTTTTATTTAATTTTTTTTAATTTTACAAATCGATCCCTGTTCTCTCTCCCTCCTTCCCTCCATCCCATGACCCTGATCACCCTTCCATCCCATCCCCCCACTCCACTGGGAGGGTGATGCCTTCCAGGAGGGGTCACCAAAATCTGTCAAGTCATTTGGAGTAGGGACTAGGCCTTCCCTCCTGCCTCTAATTATCACTGAACTATTTGAAGCTAATGATTCATTATGTTCCAGCTACCATTCTGGAAAATAGAATTCATCACAATATCTGGGCTTGTATAAAAATTTTAGGGAGTTCTACAGTTTATTGAATAAATATTACAGAAGTATAAACTAGCTTAAATAGTGGTCATAAGCTTTAAAATTATTTATTAATATTCAAATTTCTTTTGAAAGTGGAAATTTCTATATAATTAATGGAAAATTTCCTTTGTTAATATTAGTAAAATATTAAAAATTCAGTGGCTTAATACTGGGCTTATAACCTCTGAGAGGAGAATATTAATACTGCTACATATACTTTTTCAAGTGTTAAGAAATTATTTTCCATAAAGAAGTCCATAGGAACTTTATATAGAGATAGCCAACCAAATCAAGAATAAAAGAACTGTGAGAATAAATGAGCAACTGATCAAAAAAGTGACTCTAACATAAAACAAATTAGGAAGAGATACTTAATATACTAGATCTAGACATAGATATTACAGAAGAAAGGGATGGAAAAACATTTTGTTTCCCACACAAAAGCATACTAAGTCCTCACAAAGAAAACAAAGAAGATTAACATTTCTTTTCACTTTATGCTAGAAAAGTAGTATAGAGAAACTGTTCATCGGTGTCTACAATTTTTCACCTGACTCCTATGCTTATTATTCTAAGTCTTCTAGCATCTAGACTAGCTTGCATATTTAAGGACATGACATGTGTGTGTTTGTACATATGTATATTTAAGTTTATATGTGCATGTATTTGTCACTAGCATTTGTTAAATATAAATACATGAAATCAGTTTGTTAGGATGTGAGGATGTTATGTCATTGATCAGTATACATTTCAACTAACTAAATAATATTTATAAATAACCAGTTCTGATTTTTTAGTATTCTCTTGCTACAACTAAATAAAGTCCCATCTTACTCTACTTTTTATTAAATTCGCACATCATTACTAACTGAAGAATTTTACATTACCATTTTCTAGTCACCTGTACTTAAGTTATGTGTTCAAGAAATATGAATCACAAATTTTAAAACATCATAATTACCACCAAATATCATACATATAAAATTATACATGATATATATACACACAGCAAATTCAGTAAAGTATAACATGATGGAATAGAAATAAGTGATTTTTCATTAATATGGAACCTATAATGCTTATACAAATGCTCATCTCCATTAACATGGATAATTCAACATTTGTCTATAATTTTATACTTCTTTCATATACCCAGTATCTATTTTAATTTTCTAACAAATACCTAAATTAATGACTTATCATATGTAATTTAAGAGTCATATTTTCAAATAACATAGTTAATTCCAAATATATCAAATAGAAAAATTAAACAATCTGTTAGGAAACAAAAGTTCCCATACCAGAAAGCACAACTCTTTGGGTGCTTATTGTCATGAAGTTAGAAGTACAAAAAAAAAAAAGCCTAACCTATTCACATCGATTATTGTACAATGTTTACAAAAAGCTGTCAGCTAAAGAATGTGTGATTTTTGAACATGAAGTACAAGAATATATTTTCATGGGCTGAATATCCAAACTCAAAGCAAATCTCCTTTAAAAATTTGCCTCATAAGCCTGAACACGAATACAAAAGCTGAAATCATATCAGTCTATTCCTTAAGATCTTGTTCTGAGTCTCCGACTTATTCTAATTTATTTATCCTGTAAGCTAACTCATGGTCCAGTGATCTTGAATAGCATTAGTATGTCTATAATAAATATGATATACTAATACATATGATTCTAGTATAAACAATGAAATCAAAACTAAGTTGTTTCCATTATTTAATTGGTTCAATTCATCTGAAATCCAAATAAGGCAAGTGAATTGTCAAGATCTCACAAAGGGTCAGAAACATTTATTTATATAATAAATAAATCACAATATTTTCCTTATCACTCACTTTTACCCTTCTGACAACAGTAATAAAAGTGAAACTCACTAGTAATTTTCCAACTCTATTAATATTAGAAGTTCATGTACAAGGAGAAGAAGGAATAACTTACAACTTGCACTGCAAAGATAACTTTCAAGAACTCTATACAGTCAATATGGTGATACAGTGGATATTTCAGCCAAGATTTGAATTTTCATCTTAAGGAATAAAGTCATCAGGCAACCAGTCTAAAGAAGAAAAACAACAAAAGAGCATTTTGGTACACGTTACACATGAATAATCTGATGTTCCTGATCACATTTTTATAAACTGTATGCATACATAGACATATACACTAAAGAAATCATGATAAAACAATTGCTCTGAAATAGTTGTTCTTAAATTTCAGGATGTATCATTACAAAGAGGGTTTTTGAAATATTTATTGGTCCTTTTTCTAGAGTTTCTGAATAAGCATGTAAAAGGGGAACCTGAATATATGCATTTAAGCAACTCCTCAGATGGTGTTTACACAGCTATACTTTAGATATCATTAAAGGATACTTAGAAGAAATGATCAAGGATCATGACTATTAACTGGTATACCACATGATTTGGCTACTTCCATTTCATAAAATAAAAAAGAAAAAGAAAAAAAAAAAAACTACTGAGAGCTCGGCTGGGCCATGGCTAACTCAATAAGTACTGTGTAAACATGAGGATCTGAGTTTGGAACCCCAACACTCACATAAAAACCAGGCATGGTAGCACATGTCTATAACCATGGGGCTGGGGAGATGAAGAAACATGGACTCTCAAAGGCTCACTAGCCACCCAGTATAGCTGAAATGGCAAGCTCTAGATTCAGTGAGAAGACCCTATATCGAAAGATTAGATGGAGAAAGTGAGAAAGACACTTCATATTGACTTCCTGTCACCACAAAATAAATTAAAAATAAAACTGCAATGAATAAAACAGAATTCCATCCCAAGAAAATGTTCCTTTCCAACTAGATGTTAAATCTAAAAAGTCTAAAACGTGTGTACTGTTTCTAAGACAGAAATGTGGCTAGTTACCTTATAGTAAATACTTATATATAGAAGTAGATGTCTCCTACTTTTGAAAACTTCAAGATTGGCATCCACCTATAGTTAAATAAACAAATGGTCATTAGTCACACTATGTACCATATTTAATATATTCAAAGAAGCATGAAGTAATACTTATTTTAATTACTAGAAAGAGGTATTGTACATTTTTTGATATACTAAATCTAGAGAGAAGATTAAGGTCCATGAGAAATGAAACTGGTGTACTTAATTAAAATATAGTTTATGGAAAACTGAAAATTATCTACTTAAAAATGAAAGTACTCATTTCAAGAAAAAATCACATTTATATCATGATGAAAACACAGATTGATTTGGTATTTTCTTAATATTATGATTAAAGCAGTAAACAAAATACCCTGGCTAATATTGATAATAAAGAACATCAAAAACCATCATGAAAAAGTGATAATAATATGAAGGAAATTACTTTTAGTATTTTTTTCTCTGCTAAAAGTAAAGGCTGACATATAATTTTAACACAGAATCCTCTAAGGGGCTAGGTGTGTACCTCAATGGTAGAATGCTTGCTTGGCACAGGCAAGGTGCTACGTTCAACCCCCAGCACTACAAAAATAAAATAAAGAAAAAACTCCAACTCATATTTGACTTCAAGCTTAAAGGAATATTTAATATATTAATTGTGTGACACCAGAAATTACTAAGTTAGACAAAGGTCAGAAAGATGTGCTATCTGGTTGTGGGCCTACCTTGTGTCTGAAACAATGATGAAAATGTAACTGTTTATCATATTCCCCTACAAAACTACTTGTAATGCCAAATATGTGATTTCTCAAAACATATTCATTAAATGTAATAATTGTTAAGGATATAAAAATTATGAGAATAAAATAGTGTAATAGCTACTATATAAGAATAAGAACTCAATCAGTTTATCTTAACCATCAGACTTGACTTTGTTTTCCTTTTTAATATGGCATATAAGGGTACTGAAATTAGTATAAGTAGGACAAATTAGAGCAAATGAGTTGCTTTAAATATGGTAAAAGTGATCCCTGTTCTAGCAGAAACTATGGTTCTTTAGTTGTTTGATTTAAATGAGTAGTCTCTATAATATTAATGTGAAGGGAATCAACAAAAAGAGGACCATAGACCTAATTTGCCTTGTAAAAGTCATTGCTATTTGCACTGGCTTTCTACACCCCAACGATTTCTCTAGTAGCCAAGTTAAGTTACATCTAAGGTAATTGTGCATATTTCCTTTTATGGGTATCTACTATATATACCTATGTAACACTAACATAGTGCTTAGAATGTCCAACAAATCATAATGCATATCTTTTCAAAGAGACAGATACGACTCCATAGTCTAGTTCAGATTATACTTAGACCCCTCCTGAAATGAAGATTCAGGGCTGGAGTAATGGTTTAGCAGTTAAGAGCAGTGGTTACTCTTCCAAAGAACCAGTGTTTCATTCCATGTCTCCACATGGTAGCTCCCATCTGTCTGTAATTCCGGTGCTAGGGGATCTGAAACACTTCTGGATTCTGTGGCCACAGGCATGAATGTGGTGCATAGACATACAGGCAGGCAGAACACTCATACACATAAAAATAACATTTAAATGAAAAGTCTTAATAGGGACACCATAAAAAGACTGATTTTCTGTGACTATTATGACTGTTACAATAAGATATGCTAGAGTCTAACACACACACACACACACACACACACACACACACTGGAAATTAAGATAATCAAAATAATTTTTACTTTAAATTAAATTCATTATTTATTTGATCTACTAATCTCAAAGCAGGGTTTGCTTACAAATGAAGCAGAAATGTTTGTGTCTGTAGTTCAACAATAGATTATTATACTTAAAAGTTTAAAGGATCTTTGTTATCTAAAAGATAATAATGCTCTGCTGACAATGTACACAGATATTTATAAAAGTCATAATTGGGCTGGGCGGTGGTGGCACATGCCTTTAATCTCAGCACTAAGGAGGCAGAGGCAAGTGGATTTCTGTGAGTTCGAGGCCAGTCTGGTCTACAGAGCTAGTTCCAAGACAGGCTCCAAAGCTACAGAGAAACCCTGCCTCAAAACAAACAAACAAAAGCCATAATCACATGGTGTTTACCTATTTTTTTTCCACAGAAGGATATTTTATAATCCATTCAGATGACAAAAATCAAATAGTTTCTTCAGTTTTGCATTTTTTTTTCTGTTAGCTCATTGAATTAAAAACTAATAAGAAGTAACCCTAAAACCTTTTTCTGGTAAAATATAGCAAATGATAGAGATATTTAATTTAAAACTATAAACATTTTCAAAAGGTTATTAACATGTTCAAATATTTCTTTTGCATGGTTGATTTGAAGTGTAATACAGATGTGTTAATATTTCAACAGCCAAATATATTTAAGTAAGCAGGAAGAACTCACAATAAGGTTAAACTATTTGAAGGTTTATATTAAGCTTTTAATATTATGTACATAAAACTTTTATTTATCAGGATTTAGAATAATAGTGACATTAAAAATACTGTCACTTACGCCATAAACTCTTGTTGATGTTAAAATTCTTTTTTAAAGGTTCACATGGATGTTATGAATTGTGTTCACTTTTGGCATTATTAATTTCCAAATCTGGTTATGAAAAATGAAGCACATCAATACTTATATTAAAATAGTTTCAATTTAGGCCCGTCCACAAATTCAGTTTAGTTTTAATATGCTCCAAATCCCCAAACAGTTGCAATAATCCATTTGTCCTGGATTGTCTTAATGAAATGGATAGTCATTTAAAAATTTTTTAGCTAATATATGTACCTTAGGATAACTGTGAACTGTGAAGCTTATATGATGGGTGTTAACTTGAAATTGCTTATTATTTAAACATATCAAGATATTTAATTACATTGTGAATGAAGTTATTTATGCACATTTTAAACTATTAGAAATGACACAGTTCTCAAAAAGGAAAAAAAAAAAGCTTATAGTCAGAGTCAGAGTCATGCTGAGTAAGGGACAACATCAGTTTTTCTTGTGCCAAAAAGATGAAGGGATTGTTAAAGGCTTTAGTTCTATTTAGGCATATAATAACACAGTAATATATTTTCCATTCTAATATTATTTATCTATTTGTCTGTACTTTATGCTCATCTCTTTTCACATATTATGCTTAAGTCTGCTTCTTGCTCAAATAACCAATACCCTATCACTAATGAACAGAGAAGAAACTTCCCAAAATTTCTTTATGTAGGTGGAATCATGCTACAAGGCCTTTGAGTGGAAAGGCTTAGGTATTAGAATGTGTATTAGCAAAATTAAGAAACATGCCAGGCACCTATTCACCTAAAAAAAGGAACACATTGGGCACGGGGGAAAAAAAAAAAAGAACACATTTGGATTTAAAGGCATGGGCTCATAAAGGAATGCCTTCACAATAGGTTAAACCTATGCCTTTAATTCCAGAAAACAAACCAACAAAAATTGTATCACTTCCTTTTGTTGCCTAACGCAATGCATGCATTTCTTATGCTTATTTTTATTGTGCTTTAGTTGTTATCTGTTGCTTTAAAATGTTAAAACTGAGCACTTCTGAGCAAATCATTCCCTGCTTCCTTGGTAGCACAAATCCTTCATTGTGAAAAGTATAAGGAGGTAGCATTATAGCATTTTCTTCCTCTTCTCTTGTATTACCTAGTATATAGTGATCACTATGAAAATTCAATAGCTATCTTTGACATACTTTTGTTTCTGATATTACCCAATAGAGTATTGCCTCTGGAAATTGCTGCAAAATTTAGAGGGACGAACTGGTCAGATACAACTCCAGTTTGCTTTCAATGGAGTTTGTGACTACGGCACTAGTGAGAATTCTTTAAAGTGCAAAGAGCTTCCTAGACAGCAGCCAAAGCGACCTAACGAGACAAAATATCATGTTCTCTGTACTGAAAGCTGTTTAACTAAAATGACACTCATAATAAATCCAGAAGCCCAATAAGCATTTCCCACATTATTTAAGAACTCTAATTCCTCTTATGTATATGACTGTCAGGACTCAGGGACTAGGGACTGTATAAAGACTTAAGAGGACTCTAGAATTATAGTCTATATCACACACATGCTCCATATGACTCACAAATACTATCCAAAGAAGCAGGAAAGTAG